CCCCCCCCGGAGACGCTGTTGGGGTCCGATGTCAGGCCCCGGCACAACGCAAGCATCCCCTGTCCCGACAAAATGCCGGATCGTGTGCACATGCAGGGGCGCACTTGCGCCCCCCGCCGCGCATATGTCCACACACCGGGGCACCCCGGGGGCAGGTGCTCTCCCGAGCCCGCGCCCAGTGGTCGAGGCCAAAGGTTGACAGGACACCCCCTGGCCCCCGGCCCGGGGCCCCACCGCCCGGTCCATAGGGAGGTGATGCCTCTCGTAGCGCAGGCACCCGCTTCGCGCCAGCCGCCTCTCCCAAGGGAGTAAACACGCTCGGTCGGAGATGCCTTGGCGGAGTTCGACCCACCTCACCTGCCCACAGACACACCCCCGCACACACACACACACACACACACACAGGCGCGGTGACTACGGACAGGCATGCGACACGGTGGCAGGAACTTTTCAGCTTGGCCTGCCCCTGAAGCTGGCCCCCCCCGCTGGTAGCCCCTCACCATGCTGTCTTCCCTCCCCCCCCCTCCTCCTCCCTCACGCCTCCTGCCCTGCCTGCGCACGCCCTCCTCTCCCCCTCCTCCTTCCCCTCCTTCCCCCCCTCCCTCGGTTGTTAGTCGCTCGCGCCGCCATTATCACCACTCTCGCCCTCGGGCCCGTCCGCCCCACGCCGTCGCGCCCGTCCCTCTTCACCCCGGGCGCGCCCCGAGAGGCCCATGACCGTGACCATGTCGCCGGGCCGAACCCTGCTGTCCGTCTCGGCCGGGTCCTTCATCGGTTCCCGCAGCGAGAACCAGGATCTCTTTGTCATGCGTCGCATCTCAACGGCCCGCGGCGACTCGGGCTCCAGCTCCGACCGGACGGGCACCTCGGCCGAGGCCTTCAGCTACATCTCCCAGTGCTCATTAACCCGCATCGACCAGGTGGACCTTTTCCACTCGGACGGTGGCGAGGGGATCTTTGGTGACATCCTGCTGGTGGCCGTGCTCGATGGCCATGGGATCCAGGGCCGAGCAGCGGCTCGCATTGTTGCCGGTGCGCCTGACCTCGCACATGCGCCCGGGCCCATCCGCCACCGTGGCGGGCTGCCTCCCGGCGTGCTGCTGCCCTCGTCCCCGCCCCCCCCCCCCCTTCCCGCTTCCCGCTTCCCTGCCGTGTCCGCCTCCCTCGCCAACTAACTCCCCTCTCCGGCGCATGTGCACCTGGCAGACCAACTGCTTCATTTGCTTGAGCGCGACCCCCAGTTCACCACCTCTCTGTGTCGGGACCCGGCTCCCCTGGAGACGGTCATCTTTCCCGAGCTGCAGGCCTGGCTGTCGATGCAGCCGGAACTCCCGGCCCTCGACACGCATGCATGTGGCGCGGCCAACATTGCTGGCTGTGACACTCCCCCGGGGTCATGCCTGCACTTCGATGCCTCCTTCCTGGGGGACCTGCAGCCCTCGCCGGCGGATCCCAGCAACAAGTCCTCCTCGGCCGAGACTCCGCCACAGGAGCCGTCTCGATCATTGAGTGCCTCGTCCTTCTTTGATCCGTGCCTCAGTGGCACGACCCTCTCACTGGCGCTCTTTATCCCGACCGATCCGACAAAGTGCGCTCCGGGCTCCTCTCCCACCCGTCCTCCTCTCCCCTCTCTCTCTTCGTCTCTCTCTCTCTCTCTCCCTCTCCCTCTTCGCCTTCCCCTCTCGCCTGCACTCGGGCCCTATGGTCCGTGGTTTCTCCACGGCCCACTGATGTACGCCTCCCTCCCATAGCCTGTCCATGGTGTTCGCCCATGTGGGCGACACTTCCTCCATTTTGGGCTCGGTTAAGCGGTCCCCGGCTGTAGCTGGTGCCAGTTCGGGTACCGAGAAGTGGTTCACGTCGACCCTCACTGAGTATGTACCCCTTGGCATTATTTCTCCTCCTCCTCCTCCTCTTCCTCTTCCTCCCTCCGCTACACTGCTCAACAGTCGGTTGCATGGACGCCGGCCCCTCTCTCCCTGACACTTGTCTGCTTGGTCCACTTCTTCCCATCGGCAGACAACACAACTGGGACAATCCGGCCGAGGCTGGCGCCGTGCTCCAGGCTGGCGCTCCGCCGGCGGATTCCTCGCTCCAGACTCGTGGCAATGGGTCGGCCCGCATCGCTCGCTCAACTTGCCCAGTGACAGGCCAGGAGTATGGTGCGTTGACCGGCATACGCGCACTGCCGCCCGCGCGCCGGCGGACATGGGTCTGACATTGGTGGGCTGATGCTTGCTCCGTTTTCTGCTCCAACCACCAGGCCCCCTGCGCATTTTCCGCAAAACCGAGAACATCCCAGGACTGGCTATGTCCCGGGCGCTTGGGGATACCGTGGCTCAGGCGCTTGGTGTCACCGCGCGTCCGACCATCCGCCTCCGGCCGCTGGTGCAGGCCACCAGCCCCGCCGGCGGGGAAGGGACTGACATCCGGGTCGACCGCTTTGTCATCCTGGCCACCGATGGCGTGTGGGATGTCGTCACGCCGAAGACCGCCTTCCAGGTGGCTCGGAAGATCTTGCGGAAACGGTCGCCCCCGGCCGGCTGCTCGGAGCACATTGTCACCAGTTTGCTGAAGGATGTGGTGTGTGCCACACGCTCCGAACGCGACACCCTCGATGCGCAAGGCGCCACCCAGATCGAGGGGGAGTTTGACAATGCCACGGCTCTGTGCGTGGTGGTCAGCACCCCGGGGGCCGAGGCGTCCTGCAACGACATCTGCGACAACACCGGCAGTGGTAGTGTTGCGGACAGCAGCACGGACAGCAGCGCCGACTGCTCGACTCCGGCCACCTCCTCCTCGCTCTAGATCGCTCCCCGGCCACCGGGCGACTGTGCGCGCGCGCCATGGGTGACCGTCTTTGCTTTACCCATCTGAAAGAACCTGCGCCCCTCCCCAGTTGATGCGGCTATATCTTTCTCGCCTGTGGGGCGCCTATACTCTCCCTTGTCCTTCTTCTTGCTGACCCGTACTTCGCTGTGTCGCGGGCATATTTATATATATATATATATTATGTGTGTTTATTTGCTTTCGTGCGCATGCATATCCGTTCCCATTTTTGCACATACGTATACACACACATGCATGCATGCATGCATGTGTGCGTAAAGAGGCCTTTGTAGATGTCCCAGCTCTCCCGCACAGAGCCTCGCATGTCGGAAGCGCGAGGAGAGTGAAAATACGCCAAAAGGCTGAGACTTCACCAACGTACGACTACGGTGGTATGCGAAGGACAGAGAGAGCGAGACCAAGAGCGAGAGAGAGAGAGAGAGAGGGCGGGGGAAAGAAAAGGGGAATGGATGGGTGTGCCGGCTGGCGTGCTGTTCTCTGGCAAACGGTCGTCTTCTGGGGCGGGTATTATATTTGAAAGGCGACACGCGGGCAGGCGCACTCGCACACAGAGGGAGCAGGGGAGGAGGGCGGAAGGGGGGAACTGCCCCCCAGTGGGACAATCCACAAGCAAGAGGAGTGAAGGAGATCGGTGGAGACATCAAGGGTTACGATGCATGTGCGCATGTATGGAAATACACACGCAGACATATATGTATATATATATATGTATATGCGCATGTACGTCCACACATGCAGACACACATGCAGACACATACATACACAACACAACGTGCACACACGGCCGGCCGGCCGGCCAACTCCTGGCACTTAAGACGGAGTCATGGCGTTGCTGGCGGCAGCCGCCTCACGAGCGCGGTTGCGCTTCTTCTTGGAGATCTTCCGGGCGCGGTAGTGCTCATAGTGCATCTGCGAGGTGACGTCGATGAGATCCTTCATATTGGAGTGGATGATGAAGCGACGGAACTGGGAGAACTCGCAGTGCTCCTCATTCTCGATGTCGATGATGCCGAAGGGGGTGATGCGGCCGCGAGTGACCTCGGAGTCCTTGACAATGGTGTCGGTGGCGCCGATGATGGCGAAGGGGATCATCTCCTGCGGAAGGGGGAGCCAGGAGAGAAGCAAACAGATGGGGGAGAGTGGCAGCAGAGAATAGGGGTGAGTATATGGCGGAGGGCGGGAGGGAAAGGGGGAAAGGGGGGGGGGAGAGAGAGAGAGAGAGAGAGAGAGAGAGGGAGAGGGGAGAAGGGCAAGCATAGGAGCACCACTTGTGTGGTGCGTCCTGCCTCGGACAGCCCAGTGAGGATGGCGCGGAGAAAGGGAGAGAGAGAGAGAGGGAGGGAGGGAGGGAGGGAAACGCACAGCCGCCTCGACATTGACCTGGGTCTCCTCCTCGTCGTACTGCAGGTCGCTCGAGTTGGGGTAGACGGCGATCTTGTTGGCCTGGATGTCAGCCTTGACGGCGGCCTTGAAGGCAGCGCGCTCGTTCATGGTGAGGGAATCGGACTTGGCAATGACCGGGATGAGGTTGGCCACGCGACCGATCTCATACATGGCCTTGGCATCGAGGGGGCGCAGGCCGGCAGTGCCGGGCTGGAGGAAGTAGATCACCAGGTGGACGCGGGTGTCACTGATGTGGCGCGGCCGGTCCGGGCGAGCCTCGATGGTCCGGTAGTCGTCATACTGCTTCTTGATGTAGGTGACGATCGGCTCCCAGGCATCCTGGTTGTTGATGTGGTCACCGAAGCCCGGAGTATCGATGACGGTCAGCAGCAGGCGAGTGCCCTGCTCGACAAGCTCTACATGTTGGGTGAGGCCGTGGTGAAGTGGAAGTTGGAGGGAGAGGAGGGGATGGAGTGGGGGAGAGAGAGAGAGAGAAGAAGGAAGAAGGACACGCGGGGGTCAGTGGGTGTAAGAAAGGAGAAAGCCCGACCGGGGGGCGGGGGGGGGGGGAGCGCAGGGGGAAAGTAAATACGCACGGTGGGTGATGCGCTCGATGACAACGGTCTTCTCATCGGCGGCGGACGGAATGCGATCGGACTTGCTCTGGAGCAGCAGGCTGGAGAAGAGGGTGTTGATGAAGGTGCTCTTACCGATGCCAGAGGGGCCTATGCGAGTGTGTGAGTGTGTGTGTGCAACAATCGGAAAGACACCGGAGGAGAGGGGGTCAGATGGGTGAAGGAGGCGCGCGCGAGGGGACGGGAAGGAGGGGGAGAGGGAGGAGGAAACAGGCGAGGCCAACGCACCAACAACCATGACGTTGAACTCGAAGCCGTGCTTGATGGCGCGGCGGTGGACCTGGTCACAGAGCTTGTGGAAACCCACAAAGCCGTTGAGCTGGGTCTGTGTGCGGAGAAGATGGGGAGGGGGGCGAGGATTGGGGGGAGAGAGAGAGAGAGAGAGACAGGGGGGGGGGTCAGGACCAGGAATATGACCAGGGGACTGGAGCCGCCCGCGCAGATCAGCGCGCCACATGACGGACGGGGGCGGAGGGGGGCGGAGGAGGGCGGAGGGGGGCGGAGGAGGGCGGAGGAGGGCGGAGGAGGGCGGAGGGGACGCACCATGTGAACGCGGTCAGTGACCTCGGCCTCGGTGCCGGGAGCGGCGGCCGCGGCGGCGGCGGACTCGGCCGCGGCGTTCGGGTCACCCGAAGAATGGACGGCAACCGGGACGTTCTCGGTCATCTCAAAGGTGGAAGAGGCAATCGACTCGGTGGCCGAGTCGAAGGTTTGCAGATCAGGCTCGAGGTGGGCGGGGACGGACATGACAGAGAGGGAGAGGGTGAGGGAGGGGGGGGGAGGGGAGGCTCTGTGGTGTCTTTGGAAGGAGGGTAAATCCCGGGGAGTGTGATGAGAGTACGACATAACCCTCCCTTGTCCGGGCCCCTGTGTTGCCCCCCTCGCCCTGGACCTCGTCTCTGAAAGGGAGGGGCAGCTGGTCGGAGCGCCGGGCAGGGGGAAAGGGGCGCGTCCTTCGCACACCGGCCCAGGCCCGCCATTCCGGGCGAGCCCCTCCCGTGCGTGTGTACGTATGCGCGTAGGTGCGTATGTGCATGCGCTGCCTATGTATGGGCGCTGGCCCCCGCTCTGCACCCCGGCCCTCCACGCCCCGGCCCTCGGTGCTTGAGTGCGGGGGCAGGGGCCCATCCTTGCGCCCGCAGGGCGAAATATGTCCCGGGACAATTTTGGTCCCCCCCCCGGGAAGTCGAACCGGCCAAAAGATAATAGTGCGCCCTCGCCGCCCCGCCCCCCTCCTCGTGCTGGTCCCCAAACAGGGGCAGGCGCGAGACCGTGCATCTTGGCCCTTGGGAGTCTGGCGGCGGCGACGGTGAACCGGGCGGGGGCCTCGCCCTGCCCGCGTGCACCGATTGGGGCCCGTACACACGAGAAGGGCCACCCTTGTTGGGTGCAGTCGTAATACCCCGGCGAGTTTGGGTGCAAAATGCGCACAGAGTGGGCGAGCGAGAGTACACACGTACCCGCCTTTGTCTGGGCGGGTGGCGTCCCCCCCCCCCCCCGGAAGACAATATAGCCCGGCCGGGCGCGGCGTCAACCAGGGGCAGGACTGCCGGGAGACCGGGGCAGCCGAGACGCCCCCCAGCCTCGGAGGGGATGGCTCCGGCCATCGGGCACCCAGCGCTGCGCCCTCCTCCCCCCGCGCATCGGCGAGGGGCTGATCTTGGGGGACCCGGGGGGCCGTGTGTGTATATGTGTGGGCGTGTGTGCACAGGGGCGCGCACGCGCGCTCGCATTCCGCCCACCGGTGAACGCCCCCCCCCCCCCCCCGCCCGGCCAGCGCGTAGAGTGCTGGGCAACCCCGTAGGCCATGGGTGTCATTAAGCGCCAGAAATGCCGGAAACACACACACACACCGGGCAAACGGCGCAATGGGCAGGGAGCCGAGGGGGGGCCCTTTCCCGGAGCTGGAGCGCCCTGCCCGCTCGACGCCCCGGCGGCTTGCCCGCTGCACCGTCTCCGGGACACAGGGCTGGGAGTGGGGCAAAAAAAGGGGCAGGTCTTTGAGCCCCATGCCCTTGGGCTTTTTCCGGCGGCGGGCGGGACCCCGCCGTGAGGCAACGCGCCGCGCCTGCCCAACAAGCGGCGGCATGCCTCACACCGCTCCCCGAGGCCCTGGGGACCCGCAGCGGGGAGCCCTGTGCGGCGGCCATGCAGCGCGGGCCCCTCGCCAGAGCGGGAGAGGGATCCAACGGCGCACAGGGGGGGCAGCATCAAGGACACGGTTATCCTCGAGGCTCACATTCCGCCACCGGCTCAGCCTCCGCCCCCCTTTTTTTCGGAGAGGCACCCAGGCAACCGCGCGCGCGCCCACGGTTCCCTGTGTCCCGACCAGCCTCGGGAGGGGACCCAGGACAGCGGGAGAGAATGGAAACCAGCATAGGGTGCTGCCCCTGGGAAGGGGAGGGGGACAGGGGAGACAGAGTCGGGCCAACAAGACGGAACGTTGAAACCGTGGGGCACACCCCCGAGGGACGTTGCGGGATGCGTGAGGCGTGCGTTGGAAAAACTCGCCCCCGCGTAGGCTCAGGTTAGGGGAGGGACTGGCGGGGAGGCCACTTCCACCCCCCGAAAGGTGGCCGGCGCGTGCGCCTCCCCCCAACACAAGCCCGGGAGGTACATACACCTGGGGGCGCTTTTCCCTTGTCCCCGCCGCCGGGCGGCCCCCGCTCCTCCCCTTGCTCATCAGGGGCGATGCATTCTCGCCAGCGCACCTCGCCCAACCCTTGGCCTGCCCCCTTCCCGCCCCAGCCCCTCCCCCGCCCCCTCTACACCAACCAGCCTGGTCCGCTAACAGGGCTGTTTACCTGGAGGGCCGCCTTTTTTTCCCCGGTCGACCCAGCGCTCTCCTGGCGGTGGTCTCCGGAACGTCCCCACCGGCCAAGAGCCAGGGCGAGACAGAGGGCGAGGGAGGGGGGGGGAGAGAGAGGGACCCGGGAGAGGGGGCGAATACGGTTGATCCAGGCCGGCGCGCTTATGGCCTCCAAGCGGCCAGACGGCGCGCCGACACACCGGGGAAAGCCCAGAAATGCGGCCGGTCCTCGCACCCCCCGGCGCTGGGCCTGTGCGTGCGCTCGCGCGCGGGTCTCGACCCGGGGTGCGTTTTGTCATGTGACTTTTGCCCTGGTGGCGTGCACCATTGTTGATCATGTTGGTGTGTCAGCCGGAGGGCGTGGGACCCTCCCGGCGGCGTTCACCCCCATCCCTCGCGTCAAGCACCCCCTGCAGGGGAGAGCCGTGCGCAGAGAGCGGCCTGCTGCGGCCTGGAGAAGGCGCCCCATACACGCGGCAAGCGTGCACAACTCGGTGATCCACCTCCCCCTGGATGGCAACGCGAAGCCATGGCGATCCTCCCGCCCCACGTCCCTCTCCCACAGAGAGGGAAACGACAGGGGACCGTGGGGGAGGGACGATATGGCGGGCGCGGCCTCGATTTGCGGAGCGCCGCTGCCTCCCCTCGTCGCTCCCGGCCGCGTGATGACCTCCCCGCCCTCTGCCTCCTCCCCCCGAGTCAGCGCCCACGCTCCTCTCGGGGGAAGGGCGCGCAGAGAGCGAAGCAACACACGCGCATGCGCGAGGCGGCCCCCAGGGCCGGCGCGGCAACTCGGACTCTCTCTCTCTCGGGCGCCGCCCCATCCCCTCTCCCACATGCAAAAGGCGAAAAAGCGCAAGAAGAGGCAAGCACAACGCGCATGCGCACAGCCGACACTCACACAGAGACAGATACACAATGACGACAAAAGACAGAGAAAGGGGCTACATTCCATTCAACGACACACACGGACCAGGGCACCACACAGAGGGGAGATGCCGTGAGGGGGAGGAGGGGGGAGAGAAGGCGCGCGTGCACACATGCACACGGTGCGCTGCTGCTGCTGCGCGAATCACACACACACACACACACACTCGCACGGACCCGCCCCGCCGTGAGGGGGACTCCGGCACCGCGCGCGCGGCAACGACAACAACCGACGGGGCGGAGCACTGCCGGCGGCAGCAGGAACACTGCCACCACCACCAGGCGTCCCTCATCGCGGGGGTGGCGTCGCCATTTACTTCTTGCGGGTGACACCCATGACGCGGCCACGGCGAGAGGTGGTCTTGGTGTGCTGGCCACGGACCTTCAGGCCGAGGTAGTGGCGGATACCACGGTGGGAGTAGATGCGCTTGAGGCGGTCGAGGTCCTCACGCATCTTGTTAGCAATACCGGTGGTGATCAGGTGGGAGTCGGTACCATCGACGACATCCTGAAAGACGGAAAGAGAGAGCGAGCGAGGGGAGAGAGAACGAGCGACAGGGGAGCGCGCATGTCAGTAAAGGCGGGAGAGGCGCGTGTGTGTGCCCCGTTGCCGCGCGAGCGCGAGCGCCCATCCGCCAACCAGCGCCGAGGCTTGACCCCTCGCGCGGGGCTGTGACATTGATGCGCGGAGGGGGATGGGCGGGCGGGCATGCGGCGCGCGCGGGAGAGAGAGAGAGAGAGAAAGGGGGGAAGCGCGGCGAACGCACGTAGCGACGGTTAAGGAACCAGTTGGGGATCTTGTACTGGACGGGGTTCTGGATGACGTCAATCAGACGGTCCTGCTCCTCGACGGTGAGCTCACCGGCACTGTGGGATCCATCCATATATGGCAAGCAGCAGGGGGAGGGAGGGGGGGGACAAGGAAAAGGGGGTAAGTATGACTCGCGCGCGAGGAGGAGCAGAAAGAGAGGACGGAGTGTCGGCCCGCGGGGGGGAGATCGGAGAAAGGCGCGCGCGCGGATGGACCGGATGACGCACCGCTTCTCGGGGCAGACACCGGCCTTCTTGACGACAAGAGTGGCGAAACGGCGGCCAACACCCTGGATGGAGCAGAGGGCGTAGACAACCTTGCGCTTACCCTCAACGTTGGTGTTGAGGAGACGGAGAATATGAGTGAAACCACCCTCGGGAGCGACGGCCGACTGCGGGGGACAGGGAGAAGGACGAAACGTGACGGGGGCGTTAGTGGTCGGAGCTGGCCGAGAGACAGGCAGGGGAGCGGGACGTCGGATGCATCTTGAATCCGATGCCCCCTGCTCGCAGGGCGGGGGGGAGATATTCTTGGGAACCGCGCCTCGGATCGGTCCTCCCACACAGGCGCTCATGCGCGTCAGACCCAGACCTGGGACGATGGCCATGGAGCAACACAGGACCGAAGAGTCCCCTCTCCTCCTCGTCGTCCGCCTGACCTCGGGGGCCGCCCGGAGAGAGCGGGTCGGCCGGAAGGCGCGCACAGGCACACGCGTCGGGGCCCGGGGAGGGGGTCGCACGCGCGTGCGGGGACGCGCCGGCCCGGCCCGGCCCGGCAAAGCCAAGCAATCATCCGCGCGCAAGCGGCTGCCTTCGGGCACACGGAAGGCGCGCGCGCGCGCGCAGAATCACATCCATACGGACGAGAGAGGGAGAGAGAGAGGCGCGGGCAGAGGGCGCATCGTGCGCGCCAATGACGAGAGGAGGAGAGAACATGGGGGTCCGGTGGTCATGCATGCGGCGAGGACCTACATCGCCGGTCGAGGTCTGCTGTGTGGGAGGCGCACGGGAAGGGCGGCGATTCGCCAAGATGGAGGGGAGCAAGAGCAAAGGCAAGGGAAAGGAGGAGAGGGGAGGAGGAGGAGGAACGAGGGTGGCGGGGAGGGGGGCTCGAACCATTGTTACTACTGCGTTTAGTGATGTCAGGAGAGAAACAAAACAAAACGAGCGAGAGAGAGGCAGTCCTGCCAGACGGATGCCAGTATGCCGCCACATGAGAGACGGCCCTCGGCGCGGCCCCGCCCCCGGGCACCGGTGCCCTGGAGTGGGCCGGGCGCATGTCAGCGGGCCAGCCGGGCTCTCCGTCTTTCCGGCCCTCCCCCACGGAGAGGGCCTGGCAACGGACCGGCACGGGCCGCGGGCATCGGCGCCCAGGGAGAGAGCCAAGAGGGGGGGAGTATGTGTGCCCCCGCCCCTCCCCGCCCCCCCTCCCCTAACCTTCGGGCCGCGCGGGGGGGGGGGGAGGGCACAGCCACGCCACTGTCTCCTGCTGCCTTCCCAGGGGGACGGGGGCAAGGGCGGGGGGGGGGGGGGCTTGACCCCGCCATGTGCAGCCCCCAACTTCGCCCGCCCCGCGCTAGGCCGAGAGCCAGAGCCGGGGGGACGCGGGAGGGGGACGACACGATCGCCCTCGTCGTCCCCCCTTGGGCCGACGCGCCCGGTTTACTCGCCCACCGCACGCCGACCGGCCCCCCACTCTGAAAGACACCGCACCGGGCGTCAGGGACGGCCTCCCTCCCGAGGGGGGGGGGGAACTGCCGTCGCGGTCTCCTCCGAGCGGGGGGCACCGCCCGGCGCGCATGCACACGCACACACGGGCGAGAGCAAGGCAACCCGTGTGTCGCTCGGTCTCTCGCTCGCTCTGTCCCCCAGGCCGCCCGGCGCACATCGGGCGCCGAGCTCATGTGGGATGGACCCCGGAGGCGCCACACAACACAACACACGACGGTTGCTCTGGCGGCGCGTCTCTTCCCCCCTCCGCATGCGCCCGGAAGACACCACCCGACGGGCCCCGGCCGAGGGAGCCCTGCCTGCTGGAGGGAAACCCTCCCGGCACCGCGTCGCGCGCCCACGGCGGCCGCCCGTGCCCCCTCCGGGGGACCCAACCGAAGGGTGTAGGAGCGAGGTCTGTCCTGCGGTTCCCGGTGGCCTGGGGGCGGACACGGAAAACCTCGCTCCCGGCAGAACCTAATATCTCGAAAAAGCCGGTCGGCCAACCATGCCTGACAAATGACAAAGGCGGAAGAAGGACCACCAGTCTTCGTCACATACACACACACACAACCGGAAAACCCTGTGCCTTCGGGGGCGGAGGCCGAGGGCAGAGCCCGCTCGGAGCGCCCAAAAGAGGGATAAAAATTACGCACCTTATTCCTCTCTGCCAATGGTTGGTGCCGCTCATTCTGAAAGCCGTCCTCTGGCTGCCTCTTCAGCACGAAACTCCATTTCGGCAGCCTTTCTCCTCCAGCATCCTGCTTGGTCTAATAGGCGCGTGAGGGCGGGGGGGGGGGGGTACCTGGCCAGCAGCACTCCCGGCCCCTCTGTTCGGCCTGCCGCCCTGTGTTCCCTCTCGCGTCCCTGCCTCGTGGTGGGGTCTTTCCATGTCCTCTGGGCGCGGGCGCGTAAACGCATGTGTGCGGGGGGGGGGGGCTATGTGTTCCTGGCCGCGCTTTTTAGTACTACGGCAAGCCCCTCAGGTCGGCCGTGTGGCCCACGCATGCATGCCTCGGCTCGTGGCGGCCAATATTAGCGCGCGTATTGGAACGGGTACACTGTGCGGGGGGGGGGAGGCCGCTCTTCCTCGTTTTTTTTCCCCCCCCCCTCCCGCGGCCTTTTATCTTGCCGCACTCTCCGGTCGACAGGGGCGAAGTGTGGGACAAAATAAAAGCGCCCACGCGAGGGCGCCCGGGAAACGTCCCCCCCCCCCCCCCCACAGACAGACGGAGGGAAGTTCACCCCGGGGCACAGGGGGCGCGAGCCGGAAGGAAGTGGTGCGAGACCCGGTCACCGAGCGCGGAGGGGGGTGGCGCGGCGTGAGGCATTTCCGGACTGGAGGTCGGCCCGTGGCGGCCACGCACGGCGGCGGCAGCGGCGAGCTGAACGGGGACCGGCCCACGCTGCCGTTGGCACAGGGGAGGGCCATTGCAATGCGAGGGGGGAAGGCGAGGAGAAGGGCCCGAGGCACAGAGAAGGCGCGGGGCATCAAATGTCTGGTGCATTGTGATGACGCAAAATCCCGGGCGCGCCGTCGCCACCCTGTTGCTGCCCGGTCTGACGGGCTTTTTCAGCCTCTACCCAACTAGCACCGCGTCCGCGTGTACCCCCTCTCTCCTCCGACTCCGCCACACACCCTGTCGCTCTTCTCCCGTCCTCCCCCCCCCCACCAGTCCCAACACGCCCGTTGCTGTGTGTGTCTCCCCCCCCCCACTTCCTTTCGCCTCCCAGCCACTTGAGCCCCTCTCTTTTCCTCTCTCTCTCTCTCTGCCTTCCCTTGTCATCTTGTTCTTGTCTCCTGTCGCTCGGATTGATTGACCCCTCCTCCTGTGCCCACGCGTGTGCACTCGCCCTTTTTCCCGTCGCTGCCTCCTCGTCCCCCCCTCACTGCCTTTCTCCTGCGTGCTCATTCCCACGCGCGCAGCCTGGTATCATCATGGCCGAATTCGTCAACCCCAAGATCGAGAACAACGCCTCCGGCTGGGGCCCCTCCGTCGTTACTGATGACCAGATCGACGTGCCCTTCGTCTCCTTCACCAAGTCGCACCGCGTCTTCCGCGCCTCCGACTGGATCACCGGCTCCCGCCCCCGCTTCGAGCCCAACCGTCCGTGCTCCCCTGTCCCCCCTCCTTTCCTGCGACCGCATGCCTGTTTTTCCTTTTGCCCCCCCCCCCCTCCCCCCTCGATACGGCATCTCCCCACCTCCTCCGCTCACGGCCGCCCCTCCTTCTTTTATGTATCCCTCCCCGATACCCCCTCCCTCCCTTCCGCCCCCTCCCCCCTCGGCGACACGACACAGAGCGCATGACCAACGCCACTGTTGTCAACAGCGCCTTCTTCTTCGCGCCCCAGGAGGACGAGTCCACCTTCAACGTCGTCCCCTCCAGCCGTCCTCAGCCCAACACCCGCCCGTCCAACCGTGGCGGTCGCAACAACCTCCAGCGCGGGAACAACCAGAGCCGTGGCAACCGTCCCACCGGCGGCCGCGGTGGTCGCTCTGGCCGCGGTCGCGGCGGCCGTCTCGGCTCCTTCGGCGACCGTGTACGTCCTTGGCTGCCAGCCTTCTGCCTCCATGCCGGGGATGCTTTCCCCCCCCCCCCAGTCCAGCGTCTCCTCCTCCCCTGGGTTCTGACCGCCTTGCCCCTGGCTCTGCTCGTGCCTTCACCACCGCCACCACCCCTCCCCCCCCCGATGTACACCAGTCTCACCGCACTCGTGAGCCTGCCATCCCCGTCGACGACAGCTTCCGCCCGGTCACGACCTTCGAGTTCTCTCAGCTCGCTGGTCTCGAGATGGAGATCCCCGAGGTTACCGAGATGTGCGTCTTTCCATTGTTGTCCCTCCCTTCCGCCCCTTCATCGTGGTTGCTCCTCCTGTGCATCCACATTCTCACCTCTGTTCTCCACCTCCCCCGGCTGCCCTTTGCCCTCTCTCCCCTTTTCCCCCCCCCCCCGGCCACAGCACCTCTGCTGGTACCATCAAGCAGTACGTCAGCGCCCAGGATGGTGTTACCACCAAGAAGGCCAAGGCCCTGCGCAATGTCGACGTCGACATCCCCAATGTCATGGCCAGCTCCGATGCCATCATCAAGGAGGTACGCCCGGCTCCATCGCCCCCCCCCCTCCCCCCCTGCTCCGCCCCCTCCATTTTTCCCTCCATGCTTTACTTATCATGCTCCTCCTCTCTACCCCGTGGCTTCTGCTGCTTCGCGTGCCTACACACATGCACACACAGCTCGCCGCCTCCACCAAGCACAAGGTCTTCACCACCTCCTCGGTCCTGGCTCTGCTCATGTCCACCCCCCGCTCGGTTTACTCTTGGGACCTGGTTATCCGCCGTCAGGGTGGCAAGATCTTCATCGACAAGCGCGATGGTTCCGCTGCCGGTTCGTCTGCTGCCGCTGGCGTCGCCCCCCCTCTCCTCCTCCTCCTCCTCCTCTTCTTCTTCTTCGCCTCCTCTTCTTCTCCTCCTCTTCCTCTTCTCCTCCTCTGCCCCCGTTTTCGGGCTCCTCTCGTCTTCGGGCTCCCTCTTGGACACCAGGCGTTCTCACCCTCCCCCTTCTCTTCCCCTCGCCACTTCTTGTCTTCCCCCGCCCCCGTCCCTTGCATCTTGCGAACGTCGACCTGCGTCCACACCGGCAGACTTCTACACCGTTTGCGAGAGCGCCGACATGAGCCTCGAGGACCGCGAGGGCGTCAACTCGCCCGCCAGCCTGTCGATGGAGGCCACCCGCCTGAACGCCAGCTTCCCCCAGCTGTCGGTTACCGACAAGGCCGTCGAGACCTTCGACCGCCCGTACCCCTTCCATCTGGATGACCCCACCACCTCGGCCGGTCTCCTGTACCGCTCCGTCCCTCTGGGCAACTACTCGATGGTCGTGCGCTCGGACGTCGATGCCTTCGTGCCCACTTCCTCCGGCAAGTCCCTGATCAACATCCGTGCTCTCAATGAGACCGAGGGCCGTGTACGTGGTGGTCTCATGTTTTGAACCCTCCTCGCCTCGCCCATTTGGCTTTCCTCAGTCCTGCTGACCACCGCCCGTTTATCCGCCCCTCCTCCGCCTTCTCTTGTTTTTCTCTCTCTCTCTCTCTCTCTCTCTCTCTCGTTGGGCCCCTCTACTCCCCACGCTCACAGGGCTCCATCAACTGGCGCAGCCGTCTGGACGCCCAGCGCGGTGCGGTCATGGCTGTGGAGCTGAAGTTCAACGCGCACAAGCTCGCTCGCTGGGCTTCCGAGGCGCACCTGGCCGGCTCGGACCTGCTGAAGATCGGTTTCGTTTCTCGCACGGCCCCTCGTGACCCCTCGCGCCACACCCTGCTCGGCACCCTTTCTATCAGCCCCGAGAGCCTGGCTTCTCAGGTGAACCTGAAGCTGGAGAACTCCTGGGCCATTGTCAAGGCTGTCTGCGATGCGGTCATGGCCCAGCCCGATGGCGAGTACCTGCTCATGCGCGAGCCCAACAAGCCCGCCCTCGGCCTGTACACCTTCCCGGAGGACTACTTCGTGGCCGACGAGGAGTCTGATGAGGAGTTCTAAGTACATGCGCGTTTTTTCGCCCCCCCCCCCCCTCCCCCCCGTGCGTGTGGTGTCTCCGTCGACGCGCACACACGCATATCCACTCGCCACCCCCACAACCCCCCCCCCCCCCCCTCCACATATATGCATATACATGATACGCAGTTTCTGCCTCTCTCCTCCCCTCGCGCTCACGCGTATGCTGCATGCACGTGCGCTTCTTCCTTCCAGTCGTTGTGTACCCCTCTTCTTCTCTCCAGAATAAATGCGAATATCCCCCTCCTTTTGCGTTTGCGATCGCCCTGCACCCTGAGGCATGTGTGTATATTGTATCCTTCCCTCTCCAGGGAGGGGAGAGGACAGAGGGGCGCCAGAAGGTGGGAGGCACACTCCCTCTATGGCGGGCGGATGTCCGGCTGGTGTCCGACCGTGGGGCTGTCATCCCCTTCGGGGTCTGTGCAGCTGAGAGTCATCGGGAAGAAGAGCCTCGGCAGACGAGTGGCGGTCAGCTCGTCGGTGCTGAAGAATTCCGGGTCGAGCCAGTTGATGGCCTCGATGATGTAGTGTATCCGGTAGGCCATGATGATGGTGGAGATCTGGCAGAGTGTTGGCAATGGCCGTGACGTTAGCTGGCGGCCAGATCGGCGATGGGCAGGGGGAGGGGG